CAAGTCTCTAAGATATGTACCAGTGATGGACATATGAACCTACTAGATGTGTCATTAGATGCATCAGTGCTCTAAATATCACCCCCTCTACCCTCCATAAGTAATGATCAAGTCTGTTCTAGTGATGGACATATGAACCTGGATGTGTTCAGTGCTCTAAATATCACCCACTCTACCCCCTGTAAGTACTGATCAAGTCTGTACCAGTGATGGACTTTGACCCTAGATGTGTTATCATCAGATGCAACATATAACTCTCATTTGTTGGATTCACATTTCCTATCGGTAAGTGTACACCCTCCCCTTCCCCCCCCCCCCCTCCGTAAGTACTGTTTGTTCTCTTCAGTCGATTAAAAGAAAATAAAAGCAGAAACATGTAAGCTCTGAGTAGCTTTCCTTTTAGAAGGTTGTCCGACAATTAACGCGCTAAATTGACTGAGGTACTTTATCCATGCATCACGGAAAAGATTTAAAGAAATCCGTTTTTAAAATATATTTTGATATTTGACTATTTCTCTCACTCTGTGTTGAAATCATTAATTCTTATATTTTTGGCCATTGAACAACAACAAAAACCCAGCTCCGATAGAATAAAAAAAAATATTTGCTGCTAATGGTCGAAATAAACGATTGTATTTAGAGCGAAAAAATAGACTCGCAGAAAACAAAACACTTGTAAATAATGATTATGAAATTCATCATTGATGAATGTTGATTTATCTTGGGAAGATTACCGGCTTCTATCGTGTTATCTTTCACAAAGCACCGCGACTTTTCGATAAGGTTGATCGATTTTTTGAATAGGAAGTTACTATAGGTTGCGTTATCGCCTTCAAGCTCCTGGAGGTGAAGGTCGATCGGAGAATAACAAAAATATCTTGATTTTGACCGAAGCTTTTTGGTATAGCGATTTACAAGAACTCGCTCAAAAACCCGCCTAAGACTCAACTTTACAATGAGTACAAAGGTGATTTAAGTTTGCGAAACGAGTTATCATTAATGAGCTTTAGTGAGCGTCCTTCGGTGAGTAAAACAAAAGCTTACATCAGAGATAACTGAGAACTCCTGCGGGCTATGGAAAATTTGATTGACTTTAAATATAGCTTGGCTACCGTTAAAATGATAATGGGTTTCGAACTACAAACAACAAAGAACAAAATAAAATCATTCATCAATGTATTATCGTATAGAAAAATGCAAAAAAAAAAAAAAAAAAAAAAAAAAAAAAAAAAAAAAAAAAAAAAAAGATGTAACTACAATCAGTAAAGCATAAAAACGAGGGGAAAAACCTGGGGCCACTAGAGCAAGTATCCGGCGATATTTAGTTGTACTCTAGGTTTTCTTGTAAAGCAAAAAAATACTGAGAAAAGAAAACGGTTTTTGGAAACTAGTTTCAAGAAAAGCATTAGTTTTGAAGCCTTCTTTTCAGGTATCGCAGAGACAGGGGAGGTTACCTATTTTTCAATATTAGGGTGGAAAAAATAATAAACGAAAAACGATAACGAAAGGAAATGACTGAAGCCTAGAGAACTTGAAAATTTGCATTGTGATTTGCAAAAATACTTAAATAATTTATATTCATTTTTTCGTAAGCTAGAGGTTTTGTAATATACAGAATATCCGACCAACAAACTCGAATTCATAAGATTTATTTAGGAGTTATTGATTTTTTTCTTCATGTACCTTTAAAATGCACTGATTCTAAGTCAGCATTTACAATTTTCAGCAATCGGTGTCTTTTTCATGCTGCTATATCAAAAACTCATTTAAGCTTGTACGGCGTAGCACCAGTACTAGGGAGGCAGAACAATGAATGCAGGATCGGTGTATTCTGAAAGGGTTTTAGTGATACTAAATATTTTCATTTTCGGCCGATTATATAGAAAATAATAATAATAATAATAAATGAACAAATAAATGAATAAGATCGTATATTTGACCAAGATATTGTATTTGAATACAATACTAGCTATAAAAGAATCAACCTCAAGTTTCGACAATTGACTTTTTAGGCTTTGGTCATACATATAAATTTAGTGAAGTATTTCCTGAGGAAGGCGTGAAAGTTAAATTCCCAATTCTACAATAGCACGATTCCGACGTTTCGAGATGTTTTCTACTAATTTGCTATACGCAGTTAGAGCATGCGCWGACGTTTCTTCTCCATTTTCTCGCTACTCAGTTCCCGCGCCATAATGGCTAAACCAAGTCGGCAGCATTTCTAGCTATATGGTTAATTTTAGCGTGCGAGACGACATTCTGTGTATATAAAGTGTCCCAGTTACCCGCCTCACYGACTTCCTTCAAATTGCACATCTGTATGTTCTCAGAGCTCTAAGAGTTAGAACAGTGGCATAGCGAGGATATACCATGGAGGGGCGAGCAAACGCGTTCTGGCGCGAAAATTCCCGTTTTGTATTTTGTGTGTAGTTTTTGAAAGTTCTAAGGGAAGTTCATTTTTACGGGCGTGGAGGGTGGGGGGCTGTTGAGATTTAGTAGAGGGGGCATGGAAAAACGTAAAAATGGCATTTAAGGGGGGCCACCCTAAAAATAAGGGGGGGATACGTTAAAAAATTTCAGGGGTCTTATATTTTTGATACTTACTATTCACAAAATCCCACCAGCCCCCATGCCCGCAGAAAATGAAAGGTCCCTAAAGATGTTGCTGATAATCATGTCAGTGCTATCACGTGTTCGTTTTGTAAGGTTCAACCGGATTCTGAATACATTATTTCCTAAGTGTTTGCGTTTCATAAAAACGATTTGAATCTTCCATGGCCAAGTTCCTTTCGTGATAAACACTAGAATGATGTTGCTCTATCGAAAATGAAAAATGATGTTAACTGTTCTATTTAAAAACATATAATCAAGTGTAACATCGAATATCGCTTCAAAGGCAAAACCACGAGAAAACGCTTGTTACTTATCAGTAAATTGTACCTGTTTTTTTTTTTTTTTAATTAAAAATGTAACTTCTCAGCGAATCTAAGTGCGGGAATAAACTCTTACTTTAACTTTTGATTCATCGTTTGGTCGAGAATCGTGACACTGAATTCAAAATTCAAACAGTTTATAGTACGTGCCCCGGTCATACATTTATGTGGTAATTTTTAGTGATTTGATTCTAATGTGCTTTTCATATGCCATTAGAATTCTATTGAATCTAATAGTGTCGTAACACCGCTATAGCATGACTTTTATTTATGAAGGTTATTTTGATTATGAAATAAAAATGGAATTTCAAAATACCTGAACTTTGAACTTCTTTTGACAATGCACATGTTCCTCCATTCTCTGGTTTTCCTGATTGCTTTGTGTCAGGACCTGTTTTCTGGTTTTGTTCATTCTTGCTGCTATCAGACAACTGCCTTGCTTTCTCGAAATATACGACTCCAACAATACAACAAGTAATTCCCCCAATGGCGAGCAGTACACACATGATCATAATTCTCTTGCTCTTATTCTTCTTAGTATTTGGATTTTGAGACTCACAGATAGCCACCGTCTCTTTTCTGTTCGTTATAGGTGATGTACTGTTCATGGAGTCCATCTCTTGGTCAACTGGTGAATCACACATTTCTTTAGGATTCAGAGCTAAATAATTTACCAATTCAATGCAGAAAGTCAGGATCTAGCTTTCCGTAGAGTCTCGCTATGTCTTCAGGTTTTCTTCCAAGCTATTTTACATTTTCTTTTCATGAAGTAATTCAGTTCATTTGAAAAGGCTTCCCCACGTTGAACGCCTCCTCTAAAACTGAAGTTTTTATTTCCTAGGAAAAAAAAAAGAAGAAAAAACCGGAAATAGAATGTCAATGTAAAATGACCTGAAGCAAAATAGACCTTCAGGTTTTAATGTTAAGATTAAATCCCCTTACGCGGAGAACTAAAATCATCTAGAGTAATCTAATTCGCTAAAGCCGTTCTTAATTTGAATCAAATTGATTTTTTTTTTTTTTTTTTTTCGATCTAAAATTATTATTTTTTGGCGATAAGCGGACATCATTTATAGGTGTTTTGAGTGAAATAAGAGTATTTTAAATGCGCTCTACTTGGATAAAGGGTTTAATACCGGGCTTTTATATGTATGTATATATATATATTTATTGTATGGCACTAACCGGAGTTGATCACGAGAAAATCTGGTTAGTTTTAATTCAAAAAAAAAATCGTTTTGAATTGGATAGATATTTTAAAATAATTTCTTCCCTAAAAAGGAAGAAGAAGATTAAAAAATATATCCCTGCACAAAGCAACCGGCCTGCAGACTGCATGTTCAAAATGGCTCAATATTTCGCTTACTTTTCGAATTCTCATGCTATGAAACGATGCCTGTCGACCAATTTGGTTTCTCGTCGCGAATGAAGTTTTCAAGTTGACCCTAAATAGCTGAAGAACGGTGAATTCCCGAATTCGCGTTGTTAATAAAAGCCGGTTTGTTTCTTTTTAGTGTTCTAGAAAATTATTAGAAATAATTTGTGTATTTGTATTTTTATGCCTTAATCAAGAATAGGCTAGCTAGGAAATCATATTTATAAACATCTATGTTCATGTCCTAATGGCTGCCTCTGATCGTAGTACGAAAATATTCGGATATTTCCTAAATAAAACGCCAATTTATAATTGCCAAATGATGTAGAAAACACGGGGGGTGCACAGCCAAATAGCTAGGGTTATTTCAAAAAAAGGCCGAAAAATTTGGAATATGCTACATYGGAAACTCCCAGTAGTTTGGCGCTATAGGAGTGAAATTCCAAAATAAATGGGCATTTACCTAGAAAACAATGTTTCTTTGTCGCTTTGGGCTTTTCTACGAGTGATCAAAGCCTCCCACCAAGGATGTTTAGTCTTCGCAGCCTCATAACAATTTTGCAGTAAAGTGTTTACAATGAAAACAACTAGTTCAAGAGTTATTATGAAGTAATTTATTAAGTATGAAGAATAAATTCCTGAGGCATGAACATGTTCACTGTAGCAAGAAATAAAGATAGAACGAATGGCTGTTGTTTGGATGCGATCAGTGTCTTTAAAAATCTCATAGAGTTCGTTTTGATTGGATTATATCGCCTGTCAATCAACCAATCAGATGCACCGGGAAAGCACAAAAGAATAAACCGATCAGGTCAAGAGAACATGAAGGAGGTACACTGTAGAATTAGCCTGCGTCACATCCGGAATTTTCTTCGTATTTACATAGAAAATTCCGGATGTGACGCAGGCTATGTAGAATGAGCTAGAATCAACCAATCACATTAACTGAAAAGTGCAAATATATCAACCAATCAGGCTCACTATAAAATATAAGATACACGTGTGCCAACAGCAGTAGCCAAAATTATGCTGGATATAGAATTTCACCTTCAAAGAGCGCCAGAAAACAATTCCAACAAAATCGACATTGCAATCAGTGACAAAGAGAAAAAACGATGCTTGCTTGCTAGGAGGAACAGTGTGCATGATGGTTGGAAAGATAACTGAGAGAAACAGTCACAAACAAGAAAAATCTCGAGAGCTACGAAATGGAACTTAAGACAACTTTACCCCAAATRATCCAAGTCAACCTGATGTTCAACTTCCTGGGGAACTACATCACCAAGGTTTAAAGAAACAAGTGCAAAATTCATCACCTCAAACAGCATAAAGGAATTCGAAACAGACTATCTACTATCAGTAATTAACGAAGAGCTTTGGGAAAGAACAGACGCGGAAATACCAATGAGTGTTGTAGTGAAGGAGAGGGCTGGAGGCGGATTGGAAATACCTTACGAAGGAAAGAGGGAAATACGGACATTGGAATGGAACCCTCAAGGAAGAAGGAGAAATAAAGGTGGGGAGGCAACGACAATCATGGAAGAGTTCACGCATGGCAGAACTGAAGAACACATGCGGGAAGAGGCAAAGAAAACAGCTGAAAGAGCTGCATGTCTAATAAAATAATAAAAATATTGAAACGGTTATACATAATCACATACTAATTTGAACAAAAGACACAATTATAATTGCATTTGCTTTCTAAAAGCTCCGATAAATCTATTTTCCTTATACGTTTCCGGAAATTGCCTAAAATGGTTATTGACTTAATGGTGTTATTCAACTTGTTTCTTAAACTTTGTGTGCGATCCTCCTGAAGTTTCAACAGGGCTGCAATTTCACAACAAAAATGTTTTAACTAATCGTAACAATATGAGTAAATCACAATCTCTTTCGTACAATTTTAGTAAGTCCTTATTGGTCAATACCCCAAAACAGGATCTACATAACTAGGGATGTGATTGGTTCACGACTAACTCTCTAAATAAGTCAGTCATCCGGGAAGCCGTTGTAGTTTCCTTTGGATCGCATTGTTTCTCAGAAAAAGAAAAAAAACTAGTGATGCTCTTTACGTTTAACTTTAGACTTTTGCTCATTGACATTGAAAATAGCTAAGGAAGAAAAACTAATAAGTCGTTCGTTCATTCGTTCGTTTTTTCGTTCGTTCGTTCGTTCGTTCGT